ATTGGCATATGAATGATTTATTTCATGTTTTGGGGATTTTCAATTCATTGTTATTTTCATACATGTAACTTAATTTCACCAACAGATGAAGAAAATAGTGAAAGCTTACTTTGAGGAAGCCAAGTGGTGCAAAGAGGGATATGTTCCACCTATGGATGAGTATATGCAGGTTGCCCTCATTTCCTCTGCTTATCCAATGCTCATAACAAATTCCTTTGTTGGAATGGGAGAAGTCGCAACCAAGGACGCCTTTGATTGGATCTCTAATAACCCTAAAATGCTTAAAGCTTCAACAATTATTTGCAGATTCATGGATGATATTACATCACATGAGGTATGCAGAGTTGGTTTTCATTAATTTTAAATTTAAATTATATGGTTAAGTAACTCTGGTACGTGTTCAAACACTCACAAGAGTTAACAACTAGTTCCTTTTCCAACCAAATGCAGCTTGAGCAATCACGAGATCATGTTGCGTCAATTATTGAATGCTATATGAAGCAATATGGTCTTTCAATGGAAGATATTATGAAGTTGTTTCGGGAAGAAATTGCAAATGCATGGAAAGATATCAACGAAGGGTTCATGAAACCAACAGCTGTTCCCATGCCTATTCTCACTAGAGTTCTAAATTTTTCTCGTGTGATAGATGTGATATATAAGGACATTGATGGCTATACAAACTCTCACATTTTGAAGGACTATATTGTATTACTGTTGGTGGATCCTGTTATTCTGTGAACGAGTTTTGATTCCTAGAACTCCTTTTAACTTCAAATAAAATCTATATGGGTTGCTATATGGCTTGAAGGGAATGTGTGGGACTATTTTATATTTCATTTGCAATGGGTGGTTGTTTGTAATACTTTTCATTTATTAAAAGTTTGCTAATTAAAGAAAATGCTTTGTTTTATTAATATTGCTTTATTAAAAATATTTGTCAACAACAATCACCTATTACCAAGCAAGCGAATACAAATCAATTCATTTATCCCGTTGATATATAGAATCATTATCAGCGACTGTTAATTTGTAATCATCAAATCAGTGAAACTAAAAAATTAATAAAAATTATTATCAGGTTTGACAGTCATCCAATGTGTCAATTTTTATCAACAAAAATTTGGTTAAATTGATACTTATTAACTTAAAATTTTTTATTTGAGTTTAATGTCAAAAGCTCCGATTAAAAAAAAAGAAAAAAGAAAAAAGAAAGAGTTTGTCAAAGCAAATTAGTTGGAATTTTTTTTTTTTATTTGGTACTTACAAGTTACAACTCTAGTTTATAACAACACACTAGAAGAAGCTCAAGATATATATATGAACAAATATTAATTATTTTTGTGCAATTTGTATATAATCTTATGTTGCATTTGGAGTTGCTTTTTTATGGTGTTTTTTTCATATGGTATTTCATAACAGTATTAATTTATCATGATTAAATTAATTTTAATTTATATGTTGTATAATTTTGTCATTATATTAATGTATAAGACTCTTTTCAAAGTAGTTATTAAAAATAACATAATTTTTCTTATAGTAACATACTAAAAAACTTACAATCACGACATTTTATAACAATTCCAAATATAACCTTAAACGTTATGTTAAAAAGAATTTCATGTAATGAGATTGATATGTTTCAATTTGTTTAATATAAATAGATTAAAATTAAAATAATTGAAAGAAGTCTTATAGCTGTTTTAATTTTACACATTTAGAAATGATTCAGTCATATAGCATTTTTTTTTTATCAGCATTTTTGAACTCTCCAATGCTCCAACGTCAAGACCCCAATAACCAAATAGTTTCCTTTCCCTCCGCCTTCGCAGATTTAAGAGCACACAGTAGAGATTTATTCTGTCATATAACTCTAGTTCTCACAATATGTTAGGAAGTAGGAATAGATTTAACAATTTTTTTTAACAAGTTACAACTTTTTTAGGAGAGGGGAATTCGAGCCCAATCCAAAGATTAGGGGTGTCACTACTAGAAAACACAGTTTAATTGACAGAAAAAGTTGTTGATTATAGATATATTTCTTTCAATTATAATTTAATTGATAAACATAATTGACAACCATATCTGTCGTAGAAACAATAATTGAAAATGAGTATATTTGACAGCATAAATTTTTGTCAAATATATTTATATAATCGATAGATGATGGCTGTTGATTATATTATACTCGATAGTTATTATTTGTCAAATATAATTTAAAAATATATATGTAATCAACAGCTTCAGACTATCAATTGTGCACTTTTGTATGACAGCAATTGGTTGACAATAATGTTTTTTTTTTTTTTTTCTGACTATAAATAATTTTAGTTTTTGCATAGTATATTCGACAGGTAGTTGCTATCGATAATATTGTTTATTTGATAGCTTTTGTCTATCGAATATACCTATAAGAAAAATAAAAAAATTACGAAATTCAACAAAATCTAGAATTATATTTATAATTTTTTCTGCTAATTAAATTATATAAAAAAAACAATAAAACGAAATTTAGTACAATTATCAAGTCCTTCAATACAAATTATCAAGTCCCCACACAATATATTTATGAAATAATTTTTAGAATAATATAGGTAACAATAGATAAACAAAAATTAAATTAAAATGAGAATTCTCACCTTATTTTGAGATCAATATCCTACCAAAAATAAGAAAAAGAAAAATGCATTAGTATACATTATGAATTTATTGAAATAAAGGAGAATAAAAGATATAAATCAAATTTAAAAGAAAAATTTACCTTATAATCAAGATCATAAAATTTGGAAAAAAAAAAAAAAAAAGAGGAACTATTAGTATATAAAATAATAAGAATTGGTTGTTTAAACTAAATTGAAGTCATTAATGGCTAATGTATTATAAAGAAAATGCATTGAATGAGAAAGATGAAGAGAAAGAAAATGATGGACTGTTAACAGAAAGGATAATGGAATAGGTATAAATGAATAGTAAATAAAACTAGAGATATTTACAAAAATACAAATAGGAGAAGATGAAAGAAAAAAGGAAAAGGAAAATTAAAAGGAGAAGAAGTTGAAAGAAACAATGGGATGTCCTACCTGTGGAAAAGGAGGGGAAGGGAAGAGCAAACCAAAGATGAAAAAGAGAAGACAATGGTATGATACAATTCTTGAGCCCTTATATAATCAACACATATTAGACAGAAACTATGTCGATTATATTTAATAAATACTGTTAATTATATTTCAAATCAAATTAAGTGGGAGATTCAATTTTTTTGGCCTAAATGGGCAAGTGGGGTATAATTGACAACCAAATATGTTGTCAATTATACCAATTTTCAATAGCCTTCTTTTGTCGAATATAGGTATTATCGATAGCCGTTTGCTGTCGATTAAAAATATAATCGACGCCAAGTTTGGTTGTTGATTATTGTCACACCCCAAAACCCAAACCCGCGGACGTGGCAGACGCCGTGCACTCGTGAGAGGGTCCCACAAATGCACAAGGTTCAGAACTTAATCATATCACAATCTAATACCACAAAATCTGAAGATCAAATTTTAAAATTTGCTCGAATATCATAAATCTCCAATTAAAGTCTATTTTACAAGATCATGATTTATTTCTAAAATCTATATCAATCTTGATGTCACGCCCCAAAACCCAAATCCGAGGCGCAACAGACACCGTGCACTCGTGAGACGGGTCCCACAAATGCACAAGGCTCGGAACTTATTCAAATCCCAAACTCTATTCCATAAATCTATGTCCAACATGACTTAAACTTAAAATCACAAGGTAAAATCTATCTTACAAAAACATGATTTATTTCTAAAATCTATATCAATCTCGAAATGGCTAGCCTTCTAACTCGTCACTTCCCATGGTTTCCGTGTCTCGGGTCATACTACCTGAAATGGTGGACAAGGGAAAATCATGAGATAAAATATCTCAATAAGTAAATGTATGGATAGCTCGTGGGTAAAATTTGAGCATTCAGATAAACAGTTTATACATAAACGGAATGCTCAATGATAACCATTATGCAGAATAAAGTTCAGTAATAGTCAATTAAACTTATAGCATGCCAACAAGTGTAATCAGAAAACGGATACAAGTACGGGAACGAAATAGACGTCTCCTCTATAGGTCATGGCCAGTGTTTAAACCTCCCACTGGCAGGCAACAGGAATTACTAGTGTTTAACTCCCACTAGTAGGATTACAGGAATGAACTGGTACTATCAGGAACATGTCGACATGTGCTAGCGTTTAAACCTCCCACTAGCGGGCAACAGGATAACATGACCATATCGGAGACAAAACAGGCAGAAGTTAACAGAAAAATCATACTTTAACAATCACTTTCAAATCATCAGGACAATCACTTAAAGTTCAAGTAGGCATGCTCAATTTAATGAAAAGTATAAAAATTCCACTTCAAATCAGTCATACTTGTGTAAAACAGGTTTAGTCCCACCACCACTTCAAAACAAGTCAAAACATCTTTTAAAAACAGTGCGGGCATTACCATAAATTTACTTACCTCACTCGCTTAAAACCAAAGGCTCAATTCACGGTGCTAACTGACAGAACGATCGGGAACCTAATCAAAACACCTCAGAATTAATACCGGATTATCACAAATTCAAGTTGAAATCATCATGACAAATCCCTAATCACGATATTATTCCTATCAATCTCCACATAAACGGACCTCTCCAAATTTATTCTTATATCATAAACTAATCATTTAAATCCCCATTAATTGTTAACCCTCGGTGTGTGAACAGTACATATGAACAGTACCCGTGAACAGTGCACATGAACAGTAAAGGTAACTTATGAGCAAAATGGTCACAAACCCTCTTAAACCCGAGTCTAATCAATAGATCAATCCCTAATTTCACTCAAAAGCTCCTAAATTACATTTATCCATCAACCGAGAAAACCCAATTTGGATTTCTACTTCCACAGACAGAAAAAATGGAAGAACAGGACTTGTATTCAATCAATTGTCTTTTGCAAAACAATACCTAAGACACAGGATTTCCTCCAAAAAATTCACAGCAGCCAAATCAAGCAATTTATGCATTTATTTTGAATAGTAAAATATATTTTTGCATTATTTGGTAATATTATGTAATTATTAAATAAAATAAATCTGTTTTCATTATTTTTATTTCTTTTTTTCTTTAAATGATATATACAGACTGGGATCCTGGTCCGTATATAGCTATACGGACCACGGACCGGGATTGGTCCGTATATGCCATGAACAACAACTTTTTTATTTTATTTTTTTTCTAGGTTACATTTGTTAAACTTTAAAATTTTTCATGTATAATATAATTAAACTTTTACATATTTTAAGTCATTATTTTAAGTAATTATTCCAAACATATTTTATTTTTTTATAAATGCATTTATTTTGAATGGTAAAATATATTTTTTGCATTATTTGGTAATATTACGTAATTATTAAATAAAATAAATCTGTTTTCATTATTTTGTATTGCTTTTTTTTTCTTTAAATGATATATATGGACCGATCTCGGTCCGTATATAGCTATATGGACCGATGACGGTCTGTATATATTTATACGGACCGGGATCAATTTGTATATGCCCTGAACAACAGCTTTTTTTTTTCTAGGTTACATTTGTTGAACTTTAAAATTTTTCATATATAATATAATTAAACTTTTACATATTTTAAGTCATTATTTTAAGTAATTATTCCAAGCATATTTTATTTTTTTATAAATGCATTTATTTTGAATGGTAAAATATATTTTTGCATTATTTGGTAATATTAAGTAATTATTAAGTAAAATAAATTTGTTTTCATTATTTTTTATTGCTTTTTTTTCATTAAATGATATATACGGATCGATCCCGATCTTCCCTGAACAGCAACTTTTTTATTTTTTTTTTCTAGGTTACATTTTGTGAACTTTAAAATTTTTCATGTATATATGTTTATACTTACCAAATAAGTATAATTTTTATTAAATATATATATTCATATTTAATTTAATTTAGCTATAGGAAAAAAAAATCCCTTCAGTGCCTATATTCGGACCGATACCGGTCCGCATATATCTATACGGACTGGGATCGGTCCGTATATGCCCCTGAACAACAGCTTTTTATTTTTTTTATTATTTCATGCTTAAGTCGTTTTACTCTCGTTTTAAACTGTAACCTTCTGAATGTTTGCAAGCCAAAGTCGTTAATCTAAATAAAAAAATTAATTTTATTTGCTTGTGACTCCGAAAGAGCATTACGTAACATTATCTCTAATAACCTTCAACTTATACGTTCATGGTTTTGCAACGATATTACTTCGTACTATCGTAAGATAATTTCAGGTAGACAATTGATGGTTTTGTGGTTTCAAGGGACTATAGGGTCGATGTACATGCAATTGGTTTTCGCAGGAATGGATTTAGGGCATGAGAAGATGATAATGTCCTTAAATGAAAAGAATAAAAATGTGCACTGGGAGAAGTTTCTGGATTTTTTCTGGTATATTCAGACCAAAATCGGTCTGAAAAATGAAAAGCATGGAAGCTTCTAGATTCTTTGCATATATTCAGACCGAAACCGGTCTGTATATATATTCATACTTAATTTAATTTAGCTATGGAAAAAAAAAAACCCTTGAGTGCCTATATTCAGAACGATACCGGTCCGTATATATCTATACGGTCCGAGATCGATCCGTATATGCCCATGAACAACAGCTTTTTATTTTTTTTGTTATTTCATGCTTAAGTCGTTCTACTCTCGTTTTAAACCGTAACCTTTCGAATGTTTGCAAGCCAAAGTGGTTAACCTAAATAAAAAAAATTAATTTTATTTGCTTGTGACTCCAAAAGAGCATTACGTAACATTATCTCTAATAACCTTCAACTTATACGTTCATGGTTTTGCAACGATATTACTTCGTACCATCGTAAGATAATTTCAGGTAGACAATCGTTGGTTTTGTGGTTCCAAGGGACTGTAGGGTCGATGTACATGCAATTGGTTTTCGCAGGAATGGATTTAGGACACGAGAAGATGATAATGTCCTTAAATGAAAAGAATAAAAATGTGCACTGGAAGAAGTTTCTGGATTTTTTCTAATATATTCGGACCAAAATCGGTCTGAAAAATGAAAAGCATGGAAGCTTCTGGATTCTTTGCATATATTCAGACCAAAACCGGTCCGTATATATATTCATACTTGATTTAATTTAGCTCTGGGGTAAAAAAATCCCTCGGATTGCCTATATTCGGACCGATACCGGTCTGTATAGAAATCGGTTCGTATATTCCCTTGAACAACACTTTTTATTTTTTTTTTGTTATTTCATGCTTAAATCGTTCTACTCTCGTTTTAAACCATAACATTCCGAATGTTTGCAAGCCAAAGTGGTTACCCTTAAGAAAAAAAATGAATTTTATTTGCTTATTACTCCGAAAGAGCATTATGTAACATTATCTCTAATAACCTTCAACTTATACATTCGTGGTTTTGCAACGATATTATTCAGTACCATTATAAGATAATTTTAGGTAGACAATCAATGCTTTCGTGGTTCTAAGGAATTGTAGGGTCGATGTACATGCATTTAGTTTTCGCAGAAATGGATTGAGGACACGAGAAAATGGTGATGTCCTTAAATGAAAAAAATAAAAAATGTGCCCTGTGAATTTTTTTCCAATATATTCAGACCAAAATCGGTCCGAATATATTAATGTAATCAATTGTATTGTAAATACATATACGGACCGAACTCGGTCCATAATTAATTTATACGCCAAATTTTTACCGTGAATTTGAATCTCTCTAATTCTGTGCTAATTTATTTATATTCACACCGATTTCGGTTTGAATATTATTAATGCGCCAAAAATTTTCTCGAAAAAATTGAAATTTTTTTGGTGTGGGGCGCCAATAAGGATGATACGGACCGTTTTCGGTCTGTATAAGCCTTATGGTCCGTAATTAATTTATGCGCCAAATTTTTACCATAAATTTGAATCTTTTTTATTCTGCGCTAATTTATTTGTATTCAGACCGATTTCGGTCTGAATATTATTAATGCGCCAAAAATTTTCCCGAAAAAATTAAAATTTATTGTTACGACGAGCCAATAAAGATTATACAGACCGAAAGCGGTCCGTATAAGCCTTATATATATCACCACTTCTCTTCCTTTCCCTCATTTTCTCTTATTTCAACCAAGCTATTTCATATTTGAGTTGGCTTGAGGTTAGTTTCCTGTCTTTCCCTTGTTTCCTCACCTTTTATCTATTTTATTTAACAACATATATAATTTAAACCCATTTTCTCCTCTAATTCCACAAATTTATGTTTCTTAGTACTTGAAAACAAGATTCATTTTCAGGTTGGAGTTTATCTTGCAACAACATCAAGTTATCTACTAAATACAATAAGTGTTATTATACTTCATGCTTTTCTAGTGACATTCTGGCAATATACTGATATACATTATAACTATTTTACCTTATTCATTAACTTGATTTTTTTTTCCCTATTTGCTTAATTATGATCTATATACCATGTCATAAATTTTACTATTTTGCAGGCACCATTTTCCTAGTTTAACTCCAATTGTTTTGTAGAGTAAGTTGTATTTCTTGGTTTTTTTGACTCCCAACTTTAATTTATTCTTCTTTTTTTGGGTTGTATAGTATACTTTTTTTTCCTAAACTAAATAATTTAGAAGTAAACTATTTTATGATTATTTTTTATTATTGTACAAAAATAACACAAAAAAAAATTGCCAATATAGTTACTATTATATTATAAACACATACAATTATTATACTACATAAATAATAACAGTAAAATAAGACATGAAACTTACATTTTAATTTATATAAAAAAAAGTGTTTAAACTGCCGATTCTAATCAACATGACTAAATAGAATATTATGCATTACTTATTTTTGTATTTGTAGGGGTTCTAGTGGTTGGTAGTATCACTTCTTACTTCCAATATATGAGGTTCGATTCCTCATGATGTCAAAATCTCTATTATTATGTTTCTAACTTGTAATATATAAATTATGGTACAAATAGTTAACAAATAGTGCTCCCCACTTCAAGTGGATGCTCCATTCATCATTTGTCAAGGGAAAGAAGGTTCAATTCCTTTGGATGGTATTTTGGAATTCTTTTATTCTCAAATATAAAATTTATATCATACCATGTCAATTTGTTTAGAACTTTATTTGAGTATTTGCTCATCATTATTTCTTATTCCATCTCCAACAATTATGTGTATTCATGTGATTACTACATATCATGAATTTAATAATACTGCAACTAAAAATATGAAAGATGTGATATTGAAATATAAACATAATGATTTAGCAAACGATGTACTACAAAGAGTAATTTAATTGTAATGAGAATCTTGCACTACTTAATAATATTTCATGCCAATGAATGCAAAATAAAAAAACTTTATTTTCCAATACATATTATTAATTTAAGTTTATTACTATTAAGAATTTTACTATTATTTATAACTTTATGATTTTCTCTTAATTTAAAAATAAAATAAATAACTTCTTTACATAATGAACTAGATGAAATCAATTTCAAATTAAAACTAATCTTAAGTAAATTTAGAACTAAAATCAATTACTATTTTAAATAATAAAATGAATGAAGTTTTTTTAAAATTACAATTAAATATAATAAATATAAAATTAAATTTAATCTTAAGCAATTTTCGAAAAAAATCATTATAATGAACAAATAATTTTATAATTAATACAATATCAGTGTTTTATATGCCAATAAAATGAAAATATGTTATGTATTTTAATAGATTTATTTAATTCATGAAATTATTTTCAAATTAATGAATTTGGAAAATAAAGTCCTCTAAAATTAATACTTACTTTCATCAATAAATATAAAAATGATTTCCATCAATTTTAAAAATACAATAAATTAAAGTAAATAATTTATAATTGATAAAATGAATTAAATGACATTTATTAAGGTGACTTATAGGCCTGGCCAGTCTAGTTGGTTCAATTGGCTTAAC